TCCCAGTTTTCGTGTAAAATCTACTTTTTACTTTTTCTATTACACAAAAAGCACTTATTTTACCAAACACTACCAACATTTACTACTAATCACTTTTTACCAACAAAAGAGTTTTATTTAAACACAAGCACTTGCAAACAAAGCCTTCATTGTATTTATGTTTTTGCTCTCTGGTTTTAATTCCCCCGGTGTATCATATACCATAATTTGCCTTGGATGAGAATATGAGATCATGAGAGTATACGTCAACGACAACGGGCATAACAAGAAACCTGATCGGTTGATTAATTTATTCTACAACGGATATTTGTATAAACATCAAGCTCATGGAAGAGAATCATTAAGAGTGGATCTTTGATGAGGTTATAGTATAGAATTTATATCCTCCCACCTCTCAAACCTCACCCAATCACCCTCACTGTTTGGTGATTTGAGTAGTTGATTGGTAAAATGGCACTACAAATATAACGAAATGACAAATATCATCACAAATTCGCCGTTGTTTCTTTGATCTCCTCCATAGAAATGGTCTGCAATAGTAACATTTGCAACCCAATGTAAGTCGTCATCCACGAGATCACAATTATAACATCTTATAATAACTAGTACACATTGTCGATAGACTAACAAGTAACAATAATGGGTATTTCATGAATTACATTTTGAACTTAACAGACTATTGTGTTTTCCTCAACTTATTGTTTTACACTTTTAAGGTATTACTCACTCTTATTCCGTATTACCCAACCAACCATATTAGAACAAACCAAACCAAAAGTATTTTAACAAGACCCAACCAGACGTTGTATTTCAGACAAGAAATATTAAACAAGATGAGAAACATTCAAAGACAAGCCAAAAAGATACAGATCAGAACATTTCTTGAAAAACTCAGATCAGTTAGCATTTTCCCGAGTGAAAAGAACATGTCCTAATGATATACGGAGTAGTATTTACCTGCTCTTTCCCAGCAAAATCATTGTCATGCGTAAGAAAAAGCATGCAATGGCACTCCTTCCTGTAAACACAAACCTTATAATAAGTGTACACACACAAATAATCGAGTGCCTCGACATACTTATATTTCCATCTAAGTATGTAAAAAGTGAGCCTGCCTCTCTCTCATAGGTACACAAGGGCAGTTCCAGAAGCCCTGCTGCACTTCTGCAGCTTTATCATCGTAGTGCCTATAATAATATAGATCATTAAAAAAGAATTAACAGAACATATAAGAAAAGTTATGTAGAGCCCGTTTGGAGACCCCCTTTTTCGGCTTATCAGGCTTATCAGCCAGCTTTTTCACCAAACACGTAATTTTTACTTTCGCGTGCTGAATTGTGTAATAAGCAGAAAAAGTAAGGTTGAAGTTACTTTTCTGGCTGTATTGGCTGAAGTTACTGTAGATGACCATTTTAGCTATTTTTACATGTAACTTTTTCTTTATTTTATTAATAAAATATATTTTTAAAATTCTTTTTTCTAGAATCAGCAGAATCAGCCAAAACAGCCACTTCAGCTAGAACTTCATAAATTTCAGCAGAAACAGCCAAAACAGCCGATTTTCGTGCTACCAAACGGGCTCGTAATTGGTTTTAAGCATTTAACTTGTAAATGTGAAAGAAAACAAATATATTTATTTTTATTTAAATTTACGTAATTAAACATATATATTTCTGAGACTACATAATCAACATAAAAAACAAAATGAGGAAAATACAACAACAACATCATCCAAGCCTTAGTCCCAAAATGAGCATCATCAAAATGATCATCAACGGATATCTAAAACAAATTTGTTGTTTTTGGCATCTTTTATTTACCCATGTTCTCTTTCCTTCCAATTTTGCTACACGTTTTCTTTCTGATTATCTTTCCCTATTATTTTTTTACGAACTAAACAGAGCCATAAATTCTCGTGAAAGAAAAAGATCCGGAGCCGAATATTTTACCTGCAGGGGCAGAGTGGAGCGCCCAGTGAGTCCTTGTGTTCCGCCAGTCCCTGTTTACATTTTAGATATCATATCAGACTACTAACGAATCAGGAGAGACCAAGAATCTCAATACCCCACAAATATACAGATTACAGATTGACAGGCAATTGAGTATATTAAATGCACTGTTTATTTTATATCACAGGTGCAGATTTTAACACTTCTTGTTTGAGAAGAACTGGAATAAATTGATCGTTACACCTAACACCTGTCGGGGTATCAAGCTCAAACTGTGGATACTTCATAAAAACTAGAATTGATATCTTTTATCCAGTGATCTGCAGAGAAACCAGTAAAATTTAAGAAATCCAAGTAGCTGCAGTCTATAAAATTTGGGAACAATGAGATCCATTTTCAAACAACAAAAAGTTTAAATTAAAGACATTCAATTAGCTAGCAAATGCTTTCACAAAATTGATAAGAGTTACAGGCTATTTATGATCTTCCCACAATTAATTTGCAAATTATCACACCTCTATCAGAAGTGTTAATGTTTTGACTGTATTTGGTAGCCAATAATGCTCATTCTACTATCAGAAAAACTTTGGACTTGCTTGTTTGGCTGCAATGGATGATACCTAACACCTCTTTTCAGCAGATTCACAAATTTCAGCGAAGTAAATCTTACCAAGTATGCTCTTAATACTGTGAAATTATAAGATTTTAGCAATTGCTCATGGATCCCAAATTAAATTATGAGGCAAAAGACAATGCATACAAATAGCAACTCAATTTTTTATCAGTTGAAGTATAGAAGATCAGGCCTAGCATGTAAAACAACTCCCATATGACCAAAGGATATAAAGACCTTAATAACAACAGCAGTGACCCCTTTGTCCACACAGAAGTAGGTTCCAGACCTCCTAGCATACTGCTCCGAAAACTTCCTCATCACTTCAACAGATTGCTCAGACGGTTCAGCTGTGCACATTGAGCATAATGAAATCCGGAAAACGAATTACTCCTTATTTGTTTTATTATTACACAACAAGTAAGAAATTTTAATAATAGTGGAAACAAGAGTTATAGAAAGAATTCAGAATTTTATAAATAAATAAATAAATTACTGCAAATAGGACTAAAGAGCAAGTCCTACAAAATAAAGCAACATAAAAATAAGGCCAACTGCGGGGAGTCGAAACGGTGGATGAAAAGCGTGGTGATTGAAACAAGGAAATAAAGCAATACGTGAATCTGAAGAGGGGAGAAGAAGTACCTGCGGCGAACACGACATGGCGGCGTCGAGTGAAAGAAGGCCAACTGCGGGGAGTCGAAACGGTGGATGAAATGCCAAAGCCAAGATGATTGAAGGAGACCGCTGCCTGAAGAGCTCCCATAGTGTAACTAACTAACTTGTTCTTGTAGTTATTCACGCTTGTATGAAATCGGCGCCACAATTTTGCAGAAAGATATCTCTACCTGCTGTCCAAAGAGCTTAAAGGCCGCCAGAACTCATATGCATAGCACACTTGGGCGCAGCGGATTGAAGGATCAAGGACAGATTTTCAATGGGAAATGAACGGATTTGGGAACATGGGCGCCACACGTTTAACCCGGGTAACCAGTTTTCTTAATCAATGTGGCCCCTTTTGGGTTCCCGAATACTTTAGAGCAAGATAGGGTGCTTGACTTTTGGGGTCCACATCTTGAAACCTTTCTTGTTTCATTCACGATCCTTTATCTGCAAGGCACTCTGTCACATGGTAGAAGATCTCAACGTTTCTTTTGGTGTCAAAATCTACTTTTTTTAAGGTGTTTGAAAGGAGATAAAGAAATGTTGATTAGTTGTTTTGATGAGAGTGATATGAAGGTAAGGGATGACACATACTTTTTTTTTCCTTTTTTGGAGGGGTAAAATCACATAAGAGAAAAGGCATTGGAGGAGCTATGGAGCATGGGTCAAGCACCCAATCCACCCATGCTTCGGGTCAAAAATTTTAGTACTACTACATATAATATAAATTAATGTCCCTCCTATGTTTCAAAAAAAAAAGTTCTCGCAAGCATTCAAAATCAGTAGTAGTGTTTTGTAATTTTAGCTCGATGAGAACTCTCAAAGCATTCCTAATGAATCTATCTCTAGTGTTAAAAATGCTAATGCGTAAAACCAAAATGTTGTTAGAGATCAGAGTAGTCAAATTAAGAGGAACAAGAGAGTCCAAACAAAAGTACACGTGCTTGGGATATTATTGCTGATCTAGTATTTTGAAACCAATAAATGAAAATGCCTCTATGATTAAAGATGATTTGAGGAAAGACCATGTTGTTAATGGTGTTTGTAAATTTTTATCTCACAATTTTCAATGAACATCATTTGGAAAGACATTAAAGTGTTTTCAAGGATGCCATATCTTGCTATCGATGTTACTTTTTTAATGGGCAAGAAGGAAAAAGATTTAGAGATGAAGTGTTTGTGAGGACCAAATTCCATATTTGGAAGAAGGCTCATATGGAAAGTAGAGAGTGTGTGGGAAGTAGTCTTGGACCCAGTTCAGGCCACCCATCCCGGGAACCGGCCCGGTACTATTTGGGCCCGGCCCGGAAACCTGCTACCGGTACCAAGTCTAGGCCCGGTTTGAAGGGGAAACCGAGGGCGGGTATGGGCTGAGGGAATTGAGAACCGGCCCGGCCGGTTCCGGGCCCGGTTCGGGCCTTTTCATTTTTTTGCTGTTTTTTTTTTGTTGGGGGCTTTGGGCTGGGTTTAAATGGGCTGGAATGGGTGATTCAAAATTTCAAATGGGTTTGTGGGATGGGGGGTAGGGGATAAAATAATCAAGAAAAACCAAAAAAATAGAACCGGACCCAACCCAACCCGGGCGCGGACTAGCACCGATCAACTTTCGGGCCGGTCCCGGGCCTCTCTGAATTTTTTTGGCCCGGACGGGCCTTGGCCCAACCTGGAACCGGGCCCGGTTCAGTCCATGACTAGTGGGAAGTGTAGATATCGCACATAGTGATGCTAGAACATTATTTGTTTTCTTTCAAAAGTCAAAGGTAAAGTCTTTAATTTCAAGAAGGCTAGAAATTAGCGAGGTTACAAATAGTGTGTAGATCATAAGTCATAACATAAGGAGACTGGAGAATTTTACTTTAACATAAGGAGACTTCGGTTTTATAGATCATAACATTATTGAAACGTCTTTAAGAAAACAAAACATTACTGAAAATTTCATGTTGAGTTTCTGAAAAGACTAATTACCACAATTCCTCTGTAAACTTTACCAGGGCGTCGAAAATAGGCTGATTTGCTGAGACGGCTATACTTTTAACAATTTTTTGCACAATTATCATTACGAATAACTTCATGCTATAGTCACAATAATGAACATATTCATTTGTCGTCCAATTAACCACCAAAGCTGTTAAATAACTTCAAACTGGCATCTTCTTTGTGGTCTAATTGCAGCCCACACTCGGCCCGGATTGCAGATATAAGCTCAGGGGACACAGCCATTTGAACCTTCTGCTGCTCTCTAGTAGCATTGCCGCTACCCGTGGTGCGAGTCGCTTCAATCCCCGCAGCGCCCCAACCTCTGTACAATATAACTTTGTTTGTTTCATGGCAAACAAGGATAGCACCTGTAGCTTGCTATAAGGACACAAAGAATCATAAAACCCATTATATGTCAAACTGAACCGTGAAATAGATAGAATAAAGGTGCAAGATAAGTGCCATTGCTTTTTTTTACACCATGTTTGTATTTCCTATGGAGGTGGAGAAAGATGAAAAAGAACACGGAAGAACAAAAGAGAGAAACAAGTAGATAATAATACAGGTGTAATCACAATTCAATTGCAGCTCAGAATAAGATGCGAGTAATTAAACCCATACACAATGCTCATTACGTTATCCTAATGTTTACTCCTAGCCTTCAAGGTGCAAATTGACCCCATGTGTTTTTAGGTGCTGTTGTGCTAATGGGTCTTTAACATCTCATCCCGGTGCACATCAGCCCTTATTGCTCTCAATTTTAGCTTAAACTAAACATTTCATCTGTCTCGAAATAAACATCATCTTCTTTTCACTGTATCTTAATTATTTCGTTGTTTCTATATTATAAAATACTTGCTTCATATTGAATCAAATACTAGATATAGAAAAACATTAATTTATTTAATTAATCTTTCTTTGGTAATTTTCAATATACGCTTTAGCCTTCGGGAACAATAAAGGTCAATGTACATTGTAGGAAAGCTTTAGGTGCAAAACTGTTGAAGGCCAATCACCACATAGAGTGAAAAAATTATGGCATATTTGCACCTTTACCCAAATAGATATGTTGTTGAAAAAGAATATGGGCACAAACCTCAAGCTCAGATGCCACCTCCCTCACCGAAGTCCCAATTGCTCTACCTTTGACATTCACAACCGCAAGAGGATGCTTCTTAAAGTGTGTCTTGATCACTTTGGCCACGCCAGTAGATATATCACCTTTGCCTTGAACATAATAACAAAGAACAGAAGCTAGGTGTCATGATTAATCAAAGGTATCTCTAGTGAGCAGACAGGCAGAAGACCAAGAGGTTGAGCCTGTTTAGCCTACATTAGAGCAAAGCAGGACTAATGATATAACAAACTTATGAACTGTATGACATTTGGGCTTTTTAGCACGGTTCGGATAACTCACCGGTTATTGGGGTAAGCCAGTATAGCAAGCAGTTTTTAAATATAACTTAATTCTAGTAACTATAACTTTCTAAGTGTGTATTTTGGATGGAAGGTTTTGGACGGGAGAGGTTCGAAGAGCTCAGTCTATATTATCATATTTATTTAGGATTTTAAAAATTGAAGTGATAATATAACGGGTCTGATCATATACCATTTCAATCAGCATGAATTCATTTTTAAAAACATATTTCATCTTGATATGGACCAAGTTATCCCCTCAAAAACCCTCCCAAACCCTCCATTCAAACACATGATAAGATGTTGGGTTTTAGGCTTTTAGTGTCCTTATTTTGCTCTTTAGCATTTTCTCTCATAACCTTGTGTTACTAGTCCCAACTATACTTATAAATCCTCAAAGAAAAAATAGATTTTTTAATAAAAAGATAGAGCATGGGGGCGAAGGTGTGGCATATCTAGTACTTCAGCATGCGAGTTGGGTAATGAAGATGTCAGCCTGTATTAAAAGTGCCATCAAATGCCATCAGTTCATGACATATTTAAAACAGGCTGGCACGACTCAATCAAATTTTTGGCCCATTACGGGTTAGCATGCTTTGCGAGCTCTACTTTAGATGAGTGCAAACATAGAAGTTTAATGACAATGGAAGAGGTACTTAACATTTACCTACAGCAAGTACAGGACGTTTTGTTGTTGTAAGGGCTTGTTTTCGAAGAATAAGCCTTTCTCTGTTGGAAAGGGGCGAAGCTCTAAAAGGCACTTCTTGGGATTCTTTTTCTTCTAGACCATGTTCTACCTTTGTTTTAAGAGAATTAACAGCAAAAGATGCTGCTGATTTCATGTCAAAATCTAGCCTCTTCTCAGCTCTATCATGGAATGAAGAACTTGTCTGATCACACATTCACACCCAAACATAAACATGAGCTATTTCAGACTTAGAATACTAGAATATTATTTCTGGTACACTGACCTTAAGGCTCAGTCTGTAATGAGGAAAAATAAGAGAAAGAAAATAGGATTGAATTGTTGAAATAAAGAAAATAATTAATAAGTGAAAGGAAAGAAGATTTAGGGAGAAACAAAAGATTGACATAAAATCATTAAATGTATTTTTAATGATGGTTACGAACTCATTCTATTTATGTATTTCTACTTTCAAGTATACAAAGAGCCCGTTTGGAGAACTCTGTTTTCGGCTTATCAGGCTTATCAGCCAGCTTTTTCACCAAACACGTAACTTTTACTTTCGCGCGCTGAATTGTGTAATAAGCCGAAAAAGTAAGGTTGGAGTTACTTTTCTGGCTGTATTGGCTGAAGTTACTGTAGAGGACCATTTTAGCTATTTTTACATATAATTTTTTCTTTAATTTATTAATAAAATATATTTTTAAAATATTTTTTTCTTAAATCAGCAGAATCAGCCAAACCAGCCACTCCAGCCAGAATATCATAAATTTCAGCAGAATCAGCCAAAACAGCCGATTTTGGTGCTACCAAACGGGCTCAAAGACTAAAAAAACTACGGAGAACTTTTTTAGTCAAGTCCACTCCACGTAAATTTTTTAGTATTTTTCAACACAATGTCAAACATTAGAAAATAACACTCCACACCATTTTCCTTTCCCGAGCATTTCTTCTGGGATGAGCATCATTTATCACCTGCTGATCTTTTGCAAATCTTTCATTTTCTGAATTCAAATTTGGCACTAATTCAATTCCCTTAGTGGGCAATGTGTAAGAATTCTCCACAACACTCGTATTAAACTCAACCTCAGCCTTATTTTCAGATTGGGTAGAGACATTTTGTTGCAATTCCTGCTGAGCATAGTAGACGGAGGGATATCAGATCCACTTTTAATATCAGCCATGTAAATACGCCTATGAACAAAGACCAACAAAAACTCACTTTTTCAGTTTTTAAGTCTCTCAGTTGGACATCAATCATTGCACGATCTTTTGACTGAATCAAATTTAAAATATAGAGAGTTATATTAACTTCTGAAATTACTAATATGTGCAATTAAAAGAACCTCTGGACACCTCTATTGAACCCACCAACTTTAGCTTCAAGTCTTCTATGTTCTGGTTAAGCTTCAACACATGGAGCTTCAATGACTGCATTAAACCAAACAAAGAAAAAAAATATCAGTATGGTACTAAGAGAGCAGTTTGTAAAAAAAATCGCAAGCAATGAGTTACTACCCCCGTACCACTAACATTGGGACATGAGGAGGTGACACGGTTATTAAGAAAAGTAGGTTTATGTGGTTGATATTGAATTGATAAAGTAAGGATAAAGCAAGAATGATTAGAACTACAACTTTACCAAATTTTGTATGAGACAATCTTAGTGGGACGGACCGAAAAGGAAAAATGGGAGAATCTTAATAGCTTGATTTTCAAAATTTAAATGTTTCATTTTACTAGGGAGTAGGGACTAATAAATGCACGGTTAAATTAATTACCTCATGACGTTGAGCCTCAATAGAACGCTTCATTGCTTGTCGTTTGCTTAAAAGTGTCCGAGGCCTCAAGAAAGCAGGGCGTTCATAATTCTTCCCACGGTACACAATGATGGTATAGCCCTTACTGCTTTGCTCAATAGCAACTAAAATACCACCACTTTCACTCTCCAGCGTTCTTGCTATTTGTTGAACCTCCTCAATGCCCTTCCTCCCACCAGCTAAGATCTTCACCAACTCCCTATACTTCCAGTGAAGATGCATGTTTTCAACTGTTCCACTAAACACTCCTCTTCTGCCTGAGGATGAAAGAAGATGTCACCTAAACTTATCTTTTAGCCCGTGTATGTTTGGCAGATTTGTTGAGGGAGGGAAATGGATGGGTGGACTTTATTTTATTAAATTATTATGACATATAGATGGTTAGATAGAAATTAAAAATAAAAGAACAAATAAAAATACATTATTTAATCAAACGTACCAGTGGTTTTCTAGTCTCAAACTAACGTTGAGATTGAATTAGTAAAAAAGGCAAGTCCCTTCCTCTCCCCTCTCAAACCCCCCAACCAAACAAGCCCCTCGTGTAGGGAGTAAACACTCACCTAGGATTAAGAAGGGTTTCATTCTCAAACCAACCTTACGCAGCATATACCTTTCTTCTTCAGTTATACCTTCCTTATCTGTAATAGGCTGTATGGATACCTCTTCCATATCTAACTCTTCTAGAAGTTTTTCTGCCTTTGCTTTCTTTTGTAATGTCTGGAATTGAAATGATTATTGTTATAGATATAGGTAATTATATCCACAAGGAAGACTAGGCATAACAGGTACTCCCTCCTGTTTACTACAAGTCTTGTCTAGGAGGGGAAAAAATTGGTTCACAATAAATGTCATTTTACAAAATAAGACAGTAATTCCATGTTTCTAAGCAATATTAATCTTCAATGATAAATTGATATTTAATTGCTATCAAGATGTAATATTGTAAAGCTTTTCAATTTTTAATACTCCCTCTGTCCCTTTTTATTTAGCCAAATTTGACTTTTCAAGTCAATGATGTTAAACTTTTACCGATTATATATTTATACATGGTAGTACTTATAATATGAAAATGATATGAACATGTTCTTTGTTAACATTACTATCATAAAAGTATAAAATTATTAAATTTCACATAAATATATTAGTTAAAATAATGGATCAAAGTTTACCATCTTTGATTGGAAAAGTCAAAGATGGCTAAATAAAAAGGGACGGAGGTAGTAACTCCTTTTTTGCATGATTTATTCTAAAACAATACTTATTGTGAACAGGAAGAAGTATATTTACATACAGCTTCTAGTTTGTCAGAAGTTCTTTTAGCAGCGGATTCCACTGAATATAGCTGCCTTTTTTGTGGGACATCTTTCTTGTTACTTTTACCCTTATTCTTTTCTTCAGAAGGAAATTGGATGATTGGCTGTACAGCTTCTTCCTTCAAAATTAGCACCTGCTTTTCTTGGGCTGCTGTGTTGAGATTTTCAGAACTACTCTCATCATTTGAAATAGGTTCAGTGATTGGTTGAGCTTGTTGATTTGCATCAGACACGGGTGAATCACAATTTTTTGGGTTTCCTCTAATTGTTTGTTTCCTCCGCTCTTCAATTGCTATGGAAACCGCAGCAGGCAAAAAATCCTTACCTCTATACAGAGTAATATAATCCTTATCCCTAGCTAGCAAGATCCCTCCGGTCAGATGCTGCAGTATTTGTATCATGACCTCAGTTAAAAGATGTTGCAAATCTCAGAGCCTACTAGGTTAGAGGTTTTTCAGGGGGGAGTTAAATGAACCCCTCTCCTCATTTGATTTAAAATATTAAGAGACAGAGCCCCTCCCCTTATTTTGGCCTTTACCAATTTGGGGTTTTTGAAGGAAAACTATCATTTTAACTTTGAACATCCCTCTCCAATCCAACCCTTCTTTCCTCTAACATAACCCAACAAGGTAGCATTTAGGGCCCGTTTGGTGACCGCTGCTTTCAGCTTATCAGCCTTACTAACCATTTTTTTCACCAAACATGTAAGTTTTGATTTTGTGCGCTGAATTGTATAGAAAAATTAGAAATCAAAGGAAGGTTGGAGTTACTTTCCTGGCTGAATTGGCTGAACTATGATTTCTTCTTTATTTTATTAATATAATATATTTTAAATATTTTTTTTTTCACAATTCAATGAATTTCAGTGTTACCCAACAGGCTCATTACATTCCCCTCCCTTCTCCTTCGGTCCTTCCCTCTCCTCCCCTACCTTTGAAAAAACAAACTGTAAAATGCAAAGCTCTTCAATAGCAATGTGCCTCTAAACTGTAAGAGAGTAAGGTCCTTTTGGAATCTCGAAAATGCTAGATAAAAAATAGGGGAAGATGCAGGTAAAGTTTGTAAGGAAAGAAAATTTAAGGGAGAAAAAAAATGGTTCAAACTCAAAAAACGATTTTAAATGTTTCTTTCAATTTTCAACCTCATTTTTTTATATTTCTATATAATTATACGTAATATTATATAAAGATTATGGAAATCTAATTACATGTAAAAATTTAATGTTTTTATCAAATGTGATTTCCTCCTCATATCCTCAGAGGCGCAAAATATAAAAAACCATTTCCCTTGGCTTTATTTTTCCTCTAGCTTTTTCCCCACTCCAAACATAGCCTAAAGAAGGCCACCACTATATAAATACTCATAAGCCCAAATTAAAGTGACAATTCAATTTTCTGTTCATTATAAATTTATAAGAAAGCATAAAAAATATGCCAAGCATACATACCTTCAGCTCTTCAGCCATCAACTTGCTGTTGGTGTTCTGTACTCCTCTTTTTACGGCAATTTTTGCTATTTCACATTTCTCCCAAAGCTTCACAATGGCAGCAGCTAATCCTTGAAGACTCCTATTCCAGCCTGCCTCAGAAACATGGGAACTTTTTTAAGAAAAGAAAAGTGATTTACTGATTCCAATGTTCCGATTCAAAAGAATAATGAGCCATCAATAGTATTGAGCTCACTTGAAGCAAAATGGCAGCGTAGAGGTCGAGCAAGTCTCTTTAATGCTGTCATTTCATCATTTGTTAGTATAGGTTTCACTCCATATGGAAGCAAGCGGAAAGGTCTCTTATAGCCAGGGACTATATCTGGCAAAAGATCAGCATCGATTGGTAAAGGAAGATTCCCCCACCAATCAGTAAAACGTGGCCCAAGCCCTTCTAACATCTTGTCAGCTTCTTCAACAAGCATTTCCTCACCAGGAAGTTCATATCTTACTCTATTTGGAGAGCCTACCCCCTTTACCAGAGAAGGATAAGAACCTCCATTTATGCCAAATGAGCTGGTCTCTGTTCCACTGAAGTAGGGATATTTATAATCAGTTCCTCTGTACAATACTATAGTACTTCCTGATCTCCAAATAACCAAACCTCCTGTTTTTGCCTGAGTAGTTTTAAAATATTAACAGAATGAATAGTAAAGTACTACACATTTCACAATAAACAGTGATCTATACGTTCTTTTTTAAGTGACCGTGTAGGTGTTTACACACACACTAGAAAAGCAATAACTTTTTCCGGACAAGAATACCAATGTAAATGTTTTAAAGAGTGTGCAGGTGGATGGACAAGGGTAATGGTAGAAACTGGCTGATTATGTTCTCTTGAAATACTAAAGAAACCGTTATAGAGAGCAAACAAAAACTACCCACAACTAAAAGAGAACGAGGCGTATTAGAATGATTCAGAATATGTTATGGACAACTGAAGAAATAGAAGACAATTACGGGCCTAACCTCTAGAATATCATGAGTTCTCTTCATATTCATCCTGCACAGTTCTTTACATTTTATCTTCACAAGCTCAGACCGCCTCCATCTTTCATGAATGCCATTAACAATACCCTCTGTAATCCCGGGCTTCCCTATGTTAATCTTCTGGTCAAGTTTAATCCCTAGTGTCCTCAGCCTACGCAGCTCCTTCGCGGGCAAAGTTAGCTCAGCCTTAGATATCACTGTCTCTTTATTCTCATTTTCATTCTTCTCCCTCTCTTCCTCCTGTTTCCTCTTCACCTCGGTCCTCAGAGCATGAAATCTCTGTACAGCATTGCCTGACCCGGGCAGGGGCACAGGGTTCTGAGGGGTGCTCCAACTCGGGTCGAGGGTATGGCCAACTCTGCACTTCGGCAACTGAGTAGGCAATGGAACGAAAATTTCACCTGGAGAAGAAGAGTTCGCCTTCTGGTGTAGGGTTTCTTCTGGTTTTCCTTTATTCCCATCGTCTTCTACGTACCCAAGGCTGCGAAGCTTTTCGGCGACTCTTTCTATGGCGGACTGGGAATAAGATTGGGTATTGGCGGCGGCGGTGGATGCCGCTACAACGACAGAGGCCCGACGAAGCTCCTCCCTGCAGGGAACTATTGGGTTCTGAGATGTCAGCAATGGGAAGGTGAAGAGAATTAGGGGTGAAGGTTTCAGGAGGGTTGTGGATTGGTTAACCGGTCGATAAGTGCCGGGAGCGAGCAGCAGCATTTGAGGTATAAATCGAGAAATGTAATTCGTCCCGGTCGGAAATTCCTTTCAGCTGAAAGGTATGAGCTTGGCTTGCCGGCGGTAAGTATATCTACACGCTTACGGCTACTTAACCATCACAATGGACATCCCATGGTAAGTGTGGAATCGGAAGTTCGGGACTTCAGAAAGAAGAGGAGCTTCACTGCTTCAGGCAGAGGTTAGTCTTTATGTCCAGATGAGTAATTTGATCATGAAACATGTTTCTTTCAGGACAAGATGAGGAAGATGTCTGGTCCTGCTAAACAGGTAAATGGTCCTGTTTGAAGAGATTCAGATGGTAAGTTTTAAATATAATCTTACTTTGTTTAGAAGAGCTAAAAAAACTGAAATGATAGTACGGAGTAATAGAAATGTTTGCACTGAATAAAAATATCTCCATATCTTTTAACATTTTCCAATTAAAAGCTTCACCAAAATGAAGCAACCTTACAAGTCCGTACATACTACGTATAAAACATTGGATTGTAAAAGAAATGAAAAAATTTAATAAAATATTGGGATGGAGCAGCAACTATAAAAAATGTAAAAGATTGAAGTGGACTGTTCGACCAACGATAGTACTACGTACCCAGTATATATATTGCTATGTACGAACTAACGAAATTTGGGGAAGGAGAAGAGACTTGAAGGAGAAAGGATGAGAACAGTTTGCTGGGAAAGGAGATCAATAAACGTGTTGGATTATAAGAAGATGAGATAAGACCAGATTGCAGGTAAAAGCAATGGTTGATGCGTGGATATAGTGAAGGGCAAAATTTGTCAAACACTTCAAAACACCCTAATTTGGGGTGTTAAAAAAAGTAGGAATTGAGATGTTGGGAAGGTATATTTTAACACTTCTAATCATTTATTAACACTCCAATTTTTTTCTATTTTATTTCCCAAACAAGTGTTAAGGACAACACCCCTTAACACTTCCTAACACATAATCCAAACAGGCCGTTAGGGGGTAGCGGGTGTTTGGATCTAATTCCTAAAGAAGCTAAGGATGTCAAAAAAAAACCGCCCCACAATGACCCGCCCCGGGCCGAGACATTTGGGACGGGTCCTGTAACACCGGACGCGAATTTTACTGTGAGAAATTTTTTTTCATCAAGTACTGGGTTAAAGAAGGTAAATCAAGGCTAAGAGTAGTCTTGATAAATGAGAAAGTAAAAATTTTGTCTTAAATTAATAAAGGATTATTAATTTAGACGTGGGGACCACTCATGACATTTCGAGTTTATAAAATATTAATGTTTATCAAAATGATACTATTATGATAGTATGGATGGTTCCTAGACCCCGGTAATATAAAGAATGACAACTAGACGGCCAAGCGGGCCGGTGTCACTATTCGATAATTGTGAGTACTTAATTATCGGACTGATAATAATTCGGAAGGCTACAAATTAATAACAGAAGGAATATAAATATTTTAAGAACCCAAAACATGGGATGATGGATAATAATGAGCAACTTGACATGTTAGAGGTGGGTACTTTTGGAGGACCCTACCTTGGAGATATTTTGTATAAGAATAAACAGATAAGATTTTATCTGTTCATACAGTTCGGACCACTTAAAAATAAGTGTAACATTTTATTAAAGTGTCACCAGATATGAAACCACATATTAAGTAATGAGAAATGACGAGTGAATTTTCGAGGCAACGCGTTCTCATTTTTACTGTTACTTCAACAGTAAAATACACGTTGGGCCCACACGTGGGCGGCGACCATCCGATATTTACGGACCACATATTATATTCATCTTGGTTTAGATAATATTTATATGATGGTGTAAATTAATGTTGAGCCATAAAGTTGGCCTTTCAATCAAACAAGGTTCCATTATCGGTATAGTTAATTAATCAGATAACAGTCCGAAATAAATTCCGGGGACCACTAAATTGAAGTTGGGTAATATATATTCATTTTAGAGTCCAATATTAATTGGAAGAATGATATATATTTTACTTGACCCGATAAAATAAAATTTAATTAAAACAGTCCGGAAAATACAACTTTCGGGACCGAAAATACACTTTGGGACATAAAGGGATGACCTCCCACATGGGTGGGGGCCACCCCACGACTTATGGTCTCAAATAAGTGAGGAGAACCATGTTGAAGAGCTGGAAATGAATTGAGATGATGGGGGGATTAATCAAGTCATCAAATGAACCTTTCCCCCACACCATTCATACATGAAAGACAAAAGGACATCTCACTCACCCACCCTCCTATTATTTCGGCCCTAGCATCAATTAGGGAGGAAAAGAATCTCAAAAACATCATCTCCACCAGCTCTACTCGAACTAAGAACAAGGGAAAGGAAGGAAGCAAGAAAAGAGAAGAAGGCTGCCAACTAGCTCGTACAATTTCAACCCTCGAGATTGTTCACTTCATATCTCACGCATCTCTTATCCAATGAGCTTGAGTGAGGTGTCATTAGATAGGTCTTGAAGAGAGCTTTCATACGAGGTGCTTCACTTAAGGATACGAGGTGTTTACAGCTCAAAAGGGGCAGATAAACACACGAGGTATAAATCTGGATTCTCAAAACAGTTTGTATTTGGTTTCTAGTTATTACCCAAAATTGTTTATAAACCCTATTAACGGATAAAGTGGATATCCTACACGATTATAAGTGTAGTATAAGACCTTAATATAGTAATTTAATCATCCAAAGGGTTGGATACTAACCATGAACGGAGTTACGACCGGAGTAAGACCGGTTCACCGGAAAACACGTTCTCGGAAGGTTTTGATGTTTATACCACTTTTGGTTTATGAAACCTTGTTATGTCTTTTACCAAGATATTCTAGACTTCTCAAGGAACCTAGGAGTAACCGGAAAAGTCGCCGGAGCCGCCGGAGTTTTCGCCGGAAAATTCAAAAGTCGCCGGAGTTCGAACAAAGAAGATAAAAGCTTTCTAGCGTCATTTCAAGGTGAGTGGACGACTACGTGTCTTGTAACTCTTGAGTCAAACGTGAGATTACCTAAATAAAATCATAGTCATTATTTGAGAAATGATTAAATGGATTAAAATGCATGATTAGTCATGGTGAATATGAATTATGAAAATATTATATGGTTAATGAATAAAAGATTTATTTGTGGATTAACCATGAATATGTTATGGTCAAATGTATAACAATGCATACATGAACTATGTATGAGACAACTAGAGTAATCTAGTGTATGAATATGTAAAGAAATGTTTAAAAGTGTTTAAACATGTGATTAACTATATTGATGATAAGTTATGCGAAAATGGCATGATTAATGAGTAATTGAATCATTAATACTTTTGATGAAGGATAATCATGAATGATTAATTTGGAAATTAACCAAGGAAATTCAAGATGGTATTCTTGAAGGATTCAAGTATTTAATCATGCAAGCCATTAAAGTAAATTTAGTTTATGAGAAATAAACTAAGGTAAAAAAAGTACAAGGTATGATTAATTAATATAAATGATTTTGTTGGCTCATTTGAGAAATGACCAAAGTAACTCAAGTATTATTCTTGTAACTTTTTTAGAAATGCTTAAGAGTGCATGTTACTAAAATGATCTAGTTGCGAGGGATAAACTAGAATAAAAAGTATAAATAATTAATAAGTATGAAATACTTATTAATAGTTGTGAGACTATAATATTCTAATTGAATGATGAATCACGAATGGCTCATCTCATGAGGTGATTAAAGGAAATGCAAGGTGGTATCCTTTTGAAGAATTAAAGGTGCTTAACCATGCAAGTTATGAAAGCAAACTAGTTTATGAGAAATAAACTAAAGTATTATACATGAAAATGATTGGAAATATTTATATAAAATATATGATATGTTCGAATGGCCAAAATAGCATTTATTGATTGTATTAGACATAATACATATTGTGTAAAAATTTCGGGCCAAACGGAGCACGTTTCGGGGGTCAACTCGGAGGTCAACGGGCCATTGACCCAAACCTCCGAACATACCCGGCGCCGGGTATAGGTCATACCCGGGGCCGGGTAAGCTGCTGCCTCCAATTTTCGTTTTCCCCGAAAACGCGAATCGGAGCCCGGTTCGACGTGGGATTAATTCTAGCCATCCTATATATGAATATTTTGCATGGAATTGCATGAAATATGATGTTTAAAATGCTAAGGCTTGTAATACGGATTAAACGCTAAGACTTGGACTAGTCGTTAGTGAATAAATTATAGACCACGACTGGGCGAGGTACGTGGTAGATTATACATGGCGGGTGAATACCCGGGAACAAGTAAGGTTAAGTAATACTCTGTAGGACTAGGAGGAGTCCTCTACACTCAAACGTTAACAAGGGCCCGTGTAGTCCTTGAGGTGTGTTAACCTCCAGTAAATTACACATAGGTAACAAGGGCAAGTGCAGTCCTTGAGGTGAGTTAACCTCCATCAAAGTGCATATAGGTAACAAGGGCAAATGCAGTCCTTGAGGTGTGTTTAACCTCCATCAAATTGCATATAGGTAACAAGGGCAAATGCAGTCCTTGAGGTGTGTTTAACCTCCATCAAATTGCATATAGGTAACAAGGGCAAATGCAGTCCTTGAGGTGTGTTAACCTCCATCAAAGTGCATATAAGTAACAGGGGCAAGTGTAGTCCTTGAGGTGTGTTTGACCTCCATCAAATTACACATAGGTAACAAGGGCCCGTGTAGTCCTTGAGGTGTGTTAACCTCCAGTAAATTACACACAGGATGAGGGTGTATGCGTACTCCTCAAGGCGGGGTTATCCCGGAAATGAAAACTATGATAGCAAGGACGGGTAGTCCTCGCGGTAGGTGAACATCAAGGTAATGATGTTAAATGATTAAACGTGCTTGATCGGGAACGAGTTTTCCGATAGGATATTTTCCTTGGTCTAAGAATTGATTTAAACCACGTCCGTGATATGGAAGTCTGAATGGCCCCACAGTAATTATATTTTGATATCGAGTGAGTTAGCTTGCGGGTGACTCCACTCGAGGGTGAGATACGGGAAGGGTGAATTTAATGAGGCTGTCACGCCTAAATGATTTGAAGGACAAATGGGCCCACGGGCCAGATATTTTACTCATATGTATATATGTATACATTTTGTTTTGAAAAGGGGTAGCTGAGTTATGCCTATGATTATACTATCACCCTATTTTGAGGGTCTCACGTGAGAAAGGTTAGTTACATTACATACAGTTTGCCCTCACCAGTACTTTTCTGTAGTACTGATCCCTCGGGGGAACCACCCTTTCAGGTTGAAGCTAAAGCTTACTTCCTGCACCCGTTGCTCGGGAGATCGATGGAGAGAAGACGTGGTTCGTGCTTCCTCTGGTTCTATTTCTAAATAATTAAATAATGCTCATGGAACTATTTTGACTTATAAATTAATGGAGCCTGCGAGCTCTTGTTTTACCCTTGTGTGGGTTCTTATTAAACACTTATATTCCGCTATGTGTTTGATTGTATGTTGATGTTGTTATGTATGTTTACTAATCGGTTTTGGCATATGTATCTATCGGACGTCTTGTGCAATTCGGTAAGGATGAACTGCGGTTATTCTTATTGGGTTGTACGTCGGTTGTCCACGTGGCACAGACGCGGTCTGGGGCGTGACAGGTCCG